ACTTTACTTATCCCAGGGAGATATTCTTTTATGACTGGCACAACTATTTTGTGACAGCAGACTGGATATACCAATGTAGTTTTCATTTGCTGGGTACATGTTAATAGCAAACATCTGTAAATGAGAAGAGGACCACCCAGTACAGAACAGAATAGGCATTGTTCAGGATCTCTTGCCTGTTAACATGCCCATGGAATGTAGCTGGCATGTGCCCAAACCATTGTTCTTTCAAGGACCTGTCGAGATGGCCATGTTTATCCCTTGTTACATGATAACTCAGTAGTCTATATTTCTGCGTGCAGCACTTATATGACAGATGCTATTGGTGATCATGTTTACCCAATATTCATATTACAGAATTTTTCCATCTGTGTCATTTATCATATAGGGCAACACAAAGGATTGTGTAATGCCGTCTGTTATTAATCTAGACAGTGCACATAGTATGGACGTCTGTTTGTAATAGGTGTTTTATGTCTGCAGTGAAATAAACTATATTATTAGAATTAAATAATACATTCATATGAATCATAAGTACATGGTTAGTAAAACATGATAATCATAGGGTTCTATTTAATAATAGAACACAACAAGTCATAATTTGCATCTACAGATAGTAAACAGGTAGCAAATTATACTAGATAAGTGTACGTAGACTTCTGAAAACTGATTGATTGATTGATCGATTGATTGAAGACAACTATAGTATATTCATTTTTTTTAATACTAAATCTATTCATACATATGTTTATCTTCCTGCGCAAAAAATAGTGATTTGATTATGCTACAGGTCTGTAATTTGTAAACTCTTGAGCTACTATCTCAGCCACTCTACTACAAAGAGAGTCTAAACAAGTATGTATCCAGTGCAGCTGGAGGTACCATAATTTATATTTGAAGGATAAAAAACTCTGAAAAAATTAGGAGAGGAAAAAGAGAACAAAAGTCTCAGGAGAGATCCGACTCAGTGTAGTGGTTTTGAATTAAGAATAGGGATGTAGTTGTGGGATGTCCCGTTAGGCATATCGGGCAACCAGATGATCGAAGGTGTGCAGTGAATATTTCTGTCCCCGTGCAGGTGGTCGAACTCGATGCTCTCCAGGGTTTGTGTCAGATGTTCCAGAGCTTTGGCAGCTTGTGGGCCCAATGTAGTCTAGCCAGAGGAGTAAGATCCCCCAAAAATGTGGACTTGAAACAGCAGGTATATAACAAATGAAATATAACAAATGAAATCTGCACGTTTTATCAGACAAAACATGCAAATGGGGATCTTCCTGCTCCTGCCATATTATATATGATATAGTTGTTCTTGGTCACGAAGTAGCAATTCCAGAGGGTCAGTATGGCAATGTTTTCAGAAAGGTTGCTGCAAGCACCTCCATAGGTAGCTGCTAGCTACGTGTGAATCACAGTGCATAGGGATCAGTGGATTTTTACATCAAAAGAATCTTTGCTTTTTATGTTGCAGAAAAGGCAGAATATGTACAAAATCACAATTAATTTATCTACTAACCAAAGTTTATTCTTCTTGGATACTTAGTCATAAGGATTATTTATTAATTTAGCCCACATTGATTCACCCAAAAATGTCAATGAAATAAATTTGCAAGGGGCACCATGTACTTATTTTTATATTCATTATTTTTCTTTAACGAAGTGAGGCCATCTATAGCTGTTCTTTTTTGGTAAATGCTAGAGAGTTAAACTACTTGACAAGTTTTCATCTCTCCCGGACTCAATTGGTGAGATCTCTGCACTTCGGTTCCGGGATCTGACCATTATGAGGAGGTCACACGTTCCGTTCTGGATTTTTAATTTATTATATATTATAGAAGAATGTAACAGGAGGGGCTAGAACCTGCCAAATGGATCACCCAAAACTCCCAGGTGGTCAGGAACAGAGTTGGAAATTATGGCAGGGAGATCTCACTGGTGGAGTAGTCAAGACAGCCTTACTCTTCTGAACTATAACTTTTGGGTGGAATTTTCCTTTGTATTCATCCCTTCCTTATTGTTTTCTACCCATCTGTTATTTATATTAAAATGAAAAGAGGATGGAAATTAAAAGGCAATGAGAAAATACTAATTTAGAGAATATTTATTCACATAAGTGTTAAAAAAGCTTAACGTGTATTTCCACTTTTGCAGCCAAATTGGGATTTTTTTGTTTAATTGTTACATGTTCCAATTCACATAACATTAGAAAATTAAACAAATGATACTTGCTGTTTTTCTGAAAACTCCAAAACAGACGATTCTCCATTCTCTGTAATTTCAAGGAAGGGTCTTGAGCTGGGTGGGGAAATGGATAACCAATATTAACTCTTGTCTGTACTGTGCTGGCAGATATCTGAACACTGTCTGTCCTAACAAAGGGTTAAATATTTAGAAGCATTGTGTGGTAATGAGAGGAAATGCAGTCTGTCCCCTTTTGTCATGGGGACAGACTCACTTACAAAGTGAAATCTGGCCAAAGACCTCCTCCAAAGAAACAGCTAAACAATAAAAAAATGTTAAACTTTCTTTTGGTATGCTGTGTGAATGGGAATAGGGCAAACCTATAGTAGTGTTTTCTTAAATTTGACTGCAAAAGTGGAAATAAACTTTGAAGTGTATGCTAAGGCAAAAACAAAACAAAAAAACATACAAACATATGCAGTACATTTCTGCTACAGGCACATTTTCCCATGTGTGTTGCTTTACAGACCCTGCAAGTACAGAAAAATATCTGTTGATGTGCCAGAAATGCACTTGGCTCCTAAATTCTGTTGTGGGCTGACAACACACAGCATTTTTTAGGAATGAGTGTTGTCAGCCCTGCCCAATGTCTTTTACTAAATGACTCAACCACTCTTGCTCTCAAATCGCTACAGTATACAGGTTAATCATTCTGAGGACCATGATAACAATGAGGAGGGCTACATAAACTCTTTGAGATAACACAAGAAGTGTGCACAAAACACAGGACAGTTTTGAATTTTTTGCACTTATCAAATAGCTATAACTAAACACTTCCAATCGTATATATTTAACAGACCAAAGGCAAGCAAAAAAGAGAAATAATATTGAGGGTTTGCATACACTTTAAAGTATATCTAAAACCATGTTTGTATTTTGGACAATGTAAGGAAGGGTTTCTATTTCCTGTTCTAGTCAAGAGTTAAAAAAAGTTATCAAATATGCTTCAAAAATATACCTTACAGATCTATTTATATAGGTCCCATCGTTTCGTAGGCATTGTTACCAATTTGTAGCTGCTGGATTCAACCACCACTTAAATCCAAACTTCAAAGGTGTGTTATTGAGATTTAAAAAATGTCATTTTATGAGCTGGAAGCCAGCCCACCCCTTTATATCCTCCTGTTAGATATGTTTCCACTTTTAAAATCTGAGAGTTTCTTAAAACTGGTCTGCTTAGGAATCACCACAGCAGTGTGTTTTGCCTACCACTAGTCCTGCCTTCACACCTTTTCCAACACAGCTTTGATCAGCATTTATTTCCATGTGGACCCGAGCTAGCTGCGATACTTTTTTGTGTTTTACAGCTGCAGCGTAGGATTCATTATAACCCTTACTCCAGGTGAGAAAAAGATTGTACTACACAGATATTCAGTTTAACAAGGCCAGTGGAAACATTTCCTGAGGGGTTGAGCAGGAGGAAAATGAGGGATCCCGTATTGTAAATTGTAAATGATGTTGTAGAAATGCCTGACCATATCAACAGTGGAGGCAATACATTGTATATGCTGCTTTCTCATGCTACTCAAATGTCCTGATTGTGTGGACTATTTGCACAAGAAATGTTATGCCCCTGTGTATCAAATATTCTTTTTGACAGTTGTAGCAACAAAGATCACACCCTTTGAATATCTACATGAAATGGACTTGCAGTAGTTATGGATGTGCATGTCATGTCCCCACAGAATGTAGCATGTATCAACAGGGAATTATGGCAGCAGTGACCTACCATTTGTGCAACCTGTGCTGTCTGGTACTTAGGGGATTTATTCTCAATGTGGTCATTCACAGACTGTGCTGTCATAGATCTGGACACTGTTTTACTGCTTCGTAAGTAAGCGGTGTTGGACATCTTGAACCACCATCACTGCCTTCCAGAGCATCTCCAACTCACATGCTTCTCTAATTTCAACTTGGCACCATTCATATTGGAAATGTAGGGGGTGTTCCATGTCTCACTCGAGTTTGAGAAAGTTAATCTATCTATCTATCTATCTATCTATCTATCTATCTATCTATCTATCTATCTATCTATCTATCTATCTATCTATCATCTATCTATCTACCTATCTGTCTTTCTTTCTTTCTATCGCATCTATTCACAATGAATATGTTGTATTTGGGCAGTAGTTGAATAGGGGAGCCAAACATTGTTTTTGCATAGGGACCCATTAATGATAACGTCCACCAATAAATAATAGGTAATTTGCCAGTCCTTTTTCAACACATTGTTTTTTCTATCTTCTCTGATGTCTGTGTGACTGCTTCTGCTCCACAGTTAAATTGTAAATTTAAATTGTATAGATTCAGTATAACACTCTTCTCCATGGGGACTCAAAGTACTTTATCTGCTGTTGATGAAGCAGCCATCTTGGACACACTCAGTAAAATATCATACAAGGGTCAATTAACCTACCAGCATATATTTGGAGTGCGGGAAGCAACCAGACTACCCCCGCACTAGCACTGGATGGGAGAACATGTAAACGCGATGCACAGAGTGTGCTGACTGGGACATGAACCAAGGAACCCAGTGCTGCAAAGCAGAAGTCCTAACCACTAAGCCGATGTGCATCATTCATATCAAGAGACAGTTTTTATGTACTCATGGGATGTTTGTTTGTTTAAGGTCCTATTTATTGTATTGTATTGTAGTGTAAAGTGAAACTAGTGTTTTTCTATGTCCCTTTCAGGTTCTGTATATCCATTGAAAGATTGGGAGCAAACTTTAATGCAGATCTTTCCCTGCTTTTGTTTTCTAGATATTGAGATAGACCATGGCAGCACACTTGCTCAAAGTGAGTACTAATGGGAGAGTCTTCCTTCTATATTCATATGATAAGTCAGTGTTGTAGAGAAATATGTGAGTGACATTGATGATCTCTCCCTCTAAATATGCTACTTGTTGGCTACCTTGGTCAGGTTGATGCTTTGGCTTCAGTAATTTTGGAGTCACTGGGGTTGATTTACTAAAGAAGTAGAACATGTTCTCTTTGCAATGTGTATTTTGACTCTGTAGGTGAATTGTCACTTAACTTAAAGTGATATTGAAGCCAAAAGGTTTTTAAGCTATTTCAAAGTTTAAAAGTTTAACTTTTTTGTAGAATCTGCTGATTCACTGAGCACTGCTCTGATATCCTGTTTTAGTGTGGCTTCTTGCAGAGTCCTCTGGAGCCACCCTTGTGTGTGCTGGTAAGCTGTGTGTGTCTCCACAAACACATCTACAGAGCAAGGAAAGACACTACCCTGATTCCCACTCCTTCCTCCCTCCTTCCTTCTCCAAGCTAGTAGATGGAAACCTGCTGGAGATTGCTCTGCCCCTTGTGATCTTGTACTGGACAGGAAGTTCAGGAAACTCAAGCTGAGAGAGTTGGAGCTGTTTGTAAACATGATGACTATAAGTGTTTAAGCAAGTAATTTAAAATAAATACTGTAAATGTACAGTATATTTGTTTGATCTGGATTTATTGTTAAAAAAAAAGGTTTGAAGATTTAAATCCAATAATGAAGGTGGTGAAAATTCACTTTGCAAATATTACCCAATCACCTGCAAGTTAATTTTCTTTTGCACATGATTGGTTGATTGGAGTCAGCAAAGCTTCACCTCATTCACTAAGGTAAGTAAACATTCCTTTGCAAATGGAAAGTTAATTTTTCTCAGTAAACAGCCTGTACTACCTTAGAAGTTGTTGAATTAAGGAATTCTGCCGTTTCTGTGACTTAAATTTGCTGCATGCCTGTTCCAGGTCAGTGATTTAGATATATTGAAACAGGACACCACTAGATAACTAGTACTTTCAAAAGGTGATCAAGAATGGCATGCCCCATTTTGTTCCCATGACAGGTGTACTATCAGAAGAATTGTGTCCCATTGGCATTACTCTAGTTCAACACCTTTGCAAATATCTCAGCAAGGCTGAAGCCCTTAGTGTAAGACAATGCTGGGTATGCCTGCTATATGACTTCAAACTCCGTGCAGCAACTGTAGGAAAATAATTGAACCATTTAATAGAGCAGAGTGGTGAGAATTCTGGGAAACCCTACCTACAAACTGAGTACTGTTGTCTTGGTTGCGAGGAAGATTTATTTTTTAATTATGACTATTACCATTTTTTAAAATTTTAATTTAATTAACTATTGCTGTTTTTTCAACTTGAAAGGTATATTTATAACCAAAACTTTAGGTTTTTGGTTTTGAATAGAGTAGTGAAGGGTTAAAACTCCTATCCCTTCCACGGGTGAGATTTAGCTTCACTTCCGGTCCTGGAGAGATAACAGGAAATGAAAATAAATCTTCATGTCTTGCCCAAGCGAAGATGCCACAAGACGACTGTTTTTACCATCCTTAGCTAGAAAACCCTCCTCTTTATGCATCTCGGAACTAGTTTCATTTTGTTACTGAGATCCTTTACCAATCATGATGCCTTTGTCCATTGAGAGTGCATCACTGCTCCATAAAGGTACTCCCAATTGATAGGGTAATGACAGCTGGTAGAGCATCAAGGAGAACAAAAAATGGGGATAGAAGCGCTACTACCATAAGTAATTGGATTTATGCAAAATTGAAAAACTTACCAAAAAGTAATAGCTGATGCGATATCATCGATGAGGGGTGAATAGATGGGGAACCTCCACAGACCTAGGCATTTTGTGCTCAAAGCTATGTGAGGCAAAACGCTGAAGACAAGGAATCCCATTCTCTTGTTTTGAGCGAGACAAAATGCTCAAGACAAGAAATCCCATGCATTTCTATGGCCCATGTTCTAACCTGAGTGTTTTGTCTTAAGCAGAAAAATGCTCACTGGAAAAAGTACATGAGCTACTTTATGGCAGAATACAGAGTCTTTTGGACCCATAGACTTCAATGGGAAACATTGTGCGACAAAACACACGACACAACACACAGGTGTGAGCAGGGGCATAGAATTGAATAGGATTCCTAGCCTTGAGCATTTTTCCCCGCTTACCTTTGAGCAACAAAACACCTAGATATGAACGGGGACTAAAGAATCGTTTTGACACTTAAGAAAAGAGACACTACATACCCGGAAAACTCCAGTTACTAACCAATTAAACTGTGTACCTACATTGACATCTTTGCTTTGGATGTTCGGTAAGAAGTGCGCTTAACCTTTGTTGACTCATCTACTTAAAACCGAAGAAACCTTCCCATGCAAGACTACGTAGCACAGGCAGCAGTAAAAAAAAAGATACATAGGGGTCTACTAAGCTGCCGTAGGCAGCCGAGTGAATGACCGACCTAAAGCGAAGTGAGCCGAAGGCTGTTCGGCTATTCACTTCAGGCTGGTACGGCTGATTGCAGCCGTATATAGGCTGAAATCAGCCGTACATTGGGTGGCTTCGGGTCGGCCGAACATGCTCAGCTGACCGCTGGGCCAGCTTCGGCTTTCAGCGCGGCTCAACGGAGCCGAGGCATATGCCTTCGGCTCGACTGAGCCGCTCGGGTAAGTTCAGGAGCTGTACGGGCTATTGTGAATAGCCCGTACAGCAGCCCTTCGGTTCTACATAACGGAAGGGGTCGTGGGGCCGAAGCTAGCCGAAGTATCGGCCGAAGCTAGATGCTTTGGCTGCTTCGTGAATAGACCCCATAGTCATATATTTAAAACTGCCTAATCTGTCTTTTTGTAATGAGTAATCACAATCGCTGCCTTTTTTAACTTTTCCTCACTGTGATATTTGACATACGAGTTTTTGGCTGTTTAAGATGCTCAACATAAAAAGAAATCTAGCAAAAACAAGTCACAACAACGATGCTTTCATTGTTAAGGAACAAGGCAAACATTATAATATTTAATCAGCTCTAAATCCATATTAAACACGATAGCTTCCTTAACTCTTTTGCTGCCAAAAGGGGTGTCGAGATGCATAGAAAAGCTTGCTGGCAGCCAAGTGTTTCTAACATCTATTTTTCAACTAATGACTTTCCTGCAGATGAAAATAAAATGTCCATATAAAAAGATGATTTATTAGCAGAAGGCTGAGACATGGAGGAGACGCATTAATAGGATCCAGACATCGCCATGCAGAATCTTCCTTTTCTTTCCTATGTAATGTATGAGAAATAAAATAGGGCATATAAAAAAGAAACAGCCTTGACACGCAGTCTATGAGAACAGAGCTGATGAAAGGAAGAACAAGGAGGTATAATAGTGGCTTTATCTGCTATCAAAACACACGCAGTAGAGAGAGAAGCACTTTTCATATACTCTGTGGTCTCATAGGAGAAATATCGGTAAATATAAAAGCAAGAGGGCTTATGGTGACAGGTAATTTCACTTAGCTCATCTTCTGTTTCTATGGGACGCCAAACAGAAAGTCCCACTTCCACCAGTTTTATCTTTAGTTACTTTGTCAGTACAGTGTGTGTCTAAAATGTTTCTTGCATTCTACTCTACACCCAATGTTTTCCTAACTTTCTGAGGGTTGGCATGATATGGATTCTTACCTTGCAGCCCTCAATTATCTCTTTGATCTGTCTGCTTATGAATAGATTGGGAGTACTGGAAACACGTACACTGCATGACCAAAAAAAAGTCACCAACCGGATTTAGCTAAGCAAATAGGTAAGAGCCTTCCATTGGAAAATAGGTCAGCAATGCTATGTGCCCAAAAAATTATGTCAGCCTACCTGAATAACTGAATGACCAGGTTTTGCCATCAATAGATTTTTTCTTCCATGATGACATTGGTGTATTTCAAGATGGCAAGGCCAGGATTCACTCAAATTGTGAAAATGGAGCATGAGACATAATTTTCACACATGGATTGGCCACCGGACTTTAACCCCATTGAGAATCTTTGGGATGTGCTGGAGAAGACTTTACGCAGTGGTCCCACTCTTCCATCATCACTATAAGATCTTGGTGAAAAATTATTGCACCTCTGGACGGAAATAACTGTTGCGACCTGTGTGTTTCAAAACGATGCCAGGGTGACTGCATGCCGTAATCAAAGCTAAAGGTGGTCCAACAAAATATTAGAGTGTGTGACTTTTCTTTTGACCAGGCAGTGTACATCACAGCATTTTTTCTTATAATCAATCTCCTACGCAGTGGAGTTGATTTACTAAAGAATTAGTTTTAGGTTGAACTCCATGGACATGTGTCTTTTTTTCAACCTGGCTAAGTAAGAATCTTCACTTTCCAAAGTGAATGTTCATATAGCTTCGTGTGGTTGTTTTATATTATCCAATCATTTGCAAACAAAACCCTGTTTTTAGATTTCCATTGAAGATGATTGTATTTTCAGAGTATATTAGTACACCTAATTCACAAAACGTGAAGTATACATATAGCCAAAACTCTTGTTCTTAGTTCTGGATAGAGTAGGGAGGGGTTAGAACTCCTCTTGAGATTTTATTGCTATATGTGTCTATATGTATAGATATACCCTTACTATTTGTCCTGTTGACGAATGTTAACTAGACAGAAAGTGATGGGAAATCCAAAATTTTATTTACAAGTTGTCACCAGAAAAAGAGGTGAGTGTAAACCTTCTATTGGGTGCCTGTAGACATATGTAAAGATTTCTTCTCACTTGCTTCTTCAGGATAGGAAGTAATTGGAATCTCCCCAATGAGTACAGTAATAGAAAGCAGAAAATTCACTTATCCCTGTCCTACTGTATCCAAAACAAAAATACATATACATACATTATATTATTATGCTTGGTGAACATTCTCTACCCTTTCAGTAAATCAACCCTACTAAATCAATTACAATGACATTGTTGACAGTACTGTAACCCACAATAGCCCATCAGATTGTATTTTAATCAAATTGGTCAAAATTGAGTTGAGTTGATTGGCTGATGTGGCTTTGTGTATTGTATAATAATATATTGAATATGTCTAAATGTGTATAAAGAAAGAAAAAGTTGTTTTGGGAATCTGTTTGAACTTATATTCAGTGTGGGGGTTGGTTGGCATAGTATGTGTCACATTGGTTGATGTGAAAGGATGGAAGGTCTGTGGTCTACTCAGGCTAAGTGGACCTCTTGTAGGACTGTTTTGTTCTGGACATGATGTATCTTGTTTTCCAAAAGGCTTAGATAACCATGGCCTGCAAGATTTCAGGATAACACAATTACATTTAAAAGGAAATTCTAGTCAAATAATTTCAGATAAAGTGGGAAAGAAATAAAGCTGCAGTCAGGTTTATATTGTTGCCTGTATTCCCAAAAGGAAGACTTCCTGTTACAATGACACTAGTTACTGGGGCAAGAAGTGAAAATCTCCACACCTGAAACACAGATAACAATGAACAAGGAGCTCTAAATTCCATCCAGTCTACTAAAAACTGTTTTATTGCTTTCTGTCCCTGTTCTGGAGGCTTTCTATCACTTCCTCTCCTGGTAAAATGAAAGACAGTTGGAGACAATCTTCTTAGTGGGGACACAAAGCTTAATAAGTACCTGACTGAGACTCTAACCCTTTTCTACTTTATCCAAAATATTTTAGCTGGTGTTTCTCCTAAAACTTGTTGCTTGAATACCAATCCTGTCTGTTAGCATAGATATCATTAGGTGTGTATGAGACCTATATGTGTATAAAGAACAGCTTTAAATCTTAATTCCATTAGCTGTAGTGTCATACAGATTGAGTTTATGTGTCAATGCGTTAATGAGCTGTATTTCTTGTCATCTGCACACAGGCCTCATGCTTCCTGTCTTCTGTGTGGTGGAACAGTTGGACAACAGGGAAGAACATGCTGAATTTGTACTGGTTCGTAGAGATGTCCTTTTTAATCAGTTGGTAGAGACCGCCCTTCTTGCCCTTGGGTACTCTCACTCGTCAGCAGCTCAAGCACATGGTAAGAGAGCTTCTGATATGACTACTCTGTTGGTTTGTAGACACCCAAACTGTCAGCTGTGGTTTTCCACCTTTGCAAGGACTTACTTATAACCACTGTTTGTACTGCTACTTGCTATTTTGTCACCTATAAAGAAAGTAATTTATTGTTATATCTACAAATGGTGCAAAATGTAAATTTCTTGGTAATGCTGCGGCTTTTGTAGCTGGGAGTGGCCATGATGGTCTCGTATCTGAAGTATTCTCTTAATTATTCTTTAATACAATTTATATAAAAATCACAGAGTTCAGTTCTAATCACCAATGGGCTTTTTATATTGTGCTGCCCCTATAACGTAGATATATTTGGGGCTACACAGTAAAATAATTAGGCAGATGACGAAATCTTCATGTGCTGCTGGTTTGCCATGAATAGTTACAAGGTGAGAAACATTAGATAAGATCAAAATAAAGGGCAGCTTGGCACACATAACTGTTTGCTGTGGCCCTGAACTGTATGGTCTTTTCCCAAAACAAGACCTGCCTGAAGGCCTTAGTTACACCTGTGTATAATTAGTAACTTAGGCTACGGTTGACTAGTCAAAGAATATGATCTACCAGTGAGAAAGAAATACACTTGTTTTGCATACAGTAAACTTTACAGAGCACAAAATACTGACTTTTTTAAATTTATGGGTTACCTTAGTATGATCCCAGAACACACCCAAGTAACCCTTTGATTGCTAATAGCAGCATCCAAAAATACAGAAAACATGGAATTCGTTTTTGGATGCAAAATGGATGTAAACCAGCCCCTTAGTGTGGCTTTTACCATTTAATTAGCAGGCGGGCTGGCATGCATTTTAAAAACATCTTTTTACTTTCTCCTCAAAATACCAAAACACACAATGAGGTATTATTTGGTATTGTGGCCAAAATATGTAATCTCACCACCTCAGCCAAGGGTCATCATGTCTGATGCGTCCTAAACTATTATTGTGGAAGTACGATGCTTGTAAACCAGCCTCATAAGGGCTCATTTATAATGGAGAGTAGATATTGCTATCTGTACTCAGTTATTTACCAAAGTGCTACAAATAGTGACCCTACATTTTGTGCCTCATTCATAAAATGTGGACCATGGTGTGTAGCTGGCTGAGGCCCACAGAGTGTTTCCTGTTTTTCTGCAGCATAGAGAACTCCGTAATTGAGAAGCACTAGTCATGTGACTTTGACAGGTCACATTACCTCGCTCTCCCCCTGGCTTTTTTTAACTGACTTCCATTCATTTAATAGCTCTCCGTTGGATTTAGATTCATGAAGCTGACCAAGCACTAAACACAGCTATAAAGCACATTGTTGTGCTTTATAAATGTGCATTTTTTAAAGTTATACTGCTGCTTTTTCAAAGAACCCCTTAGTGTTGGCTGTACTATTTATTTAGCAGGTGGGCTGGTACACAAATAAACATGCTCTGGCAGTCAAGCAGAAGTACAGCATATTATTAGTGTGTTCTACCCTGTACCATATGTCATGTATTAAGTTTATATGGCTTTGTCATTGGTTGGTCACTCCTCTGTATAGGCTTAATGGGTCCCTGAGTTTAGTCTCGCCTTTCTATTGTGCAAGAAATAATCCGTCTAACAAACATGCTCTTGATCATGTCCATACCAGGCCTGTACACAAAATCAGCTAAGACAGGATAACGGGTCTATAGATGTCACATGGGCTCATGTCATCACCTTGTTGACGTGACCCGTGCAGACTCCCCGGCTAGCAGACCACAAAGAAGCTCCCATTTTAGAGGGTGCAGAGCCCATGTGGCTTGGCAGCACTGTGCTATAAAGTAGTTTATTATTGTGTAAGGTAATATTTTCCTTTGGATTGTGTCATATGAACATGGTTAGCAGCTCCGAATAAGAGTGAGTCACACACCACCCTTGCAATGGGGCCTTTGTCCTTTTCAATTACCCATGAATGTAAATCTAATTGTATTTATGGTTGGTCTTCTCATTGCTTTGCTGTTTAATCTAATATAGGAATAACATCTTTCTGTTGCAGCCCTTGGAGGCAGAGTTTTATGGCTGGTCTTTGGTATTCAATAAGAGAAAATATGCAAGGAAAAAGAATGTCTCAAGCTACAATTCAGTCTTTACAAGAAAAGGCAGCATTGTAATGAGAAGAGTGGAGTCAAGTACCAGTTAGACCAAAGTAGCAACATTATAATCCTGGGTGTACTTCGGGTTATTTAGTAAATATACGAGGCCTAGTTAAATATATTTTTCCATTCACATCGTTTTTTTCTCATAGAATGATTCTGTCATCTACATACAAATGTAAGAAGCATTATGCAGCCTGTGATGTTTCAGGCTCTTGTGATATCACTGAAGTATTAGGCACTATGTGCCATATACCTCATGAGCAACCTAGCAAATTAGCTGGTTGTTTTGTGCAATTACAAAAGCATTATTTTAGTAGCCAGGACAGTCTTCATCAATTTAATTGTCACTCAAAATACTGATGATAAAACATAATAGAGTTGATTCACTAAAGGAGTAGAGGCTGTTCACTTAGCAAAGTGAATGGTAGTAAACTAAGTGAACCTGTGTTTACCTTGGACACTCTTGTGCTTGATATACTAAAGGAGTGCTTTTTGACTGGTTAATGTGGACACGTGTTCTTTTTAAACACCCGATCATATGCAAGAGAAATGTATTTTTTGATCCTTGCACATGACTGGGTGCTTAAAGTAGGCACAGATTTACTAGACCAAAATGAAATGCACTTTTTTTAGCAAGTCAAACCCTAATATTAGAAGTTATTTTTTCTCATAAAATGATAAAGGTATGAGTGTGATTAGCAGTAATCATTGAGGTGGTCAATGAGTAGATAAAGAGAGTGAACAACCTTTTTTGATGAATGTTTTGATGCAATGTTGTAAGATCCCTAAATATAGGGCTAGCATCAATGTTCATCACAAACAAACATTTTGATTTGATCACAGATTTAGAATGAAACAATGGGGGTTGATTGACTAAAGCAGTGGAGGCAATTTACATAAGTGAACTGCGGTAACACACTCATTACCATAATGCATAGTAATGTATATTGGTGCACTGTGGTGGCCTTCATTAGCACCACAGCGCACATGCATAACACACTTACACTACTTGAGCTACACAGTGTACTGCAGCGTAGCATGTCGATCTATTCATTGCACAGCACTGTGAAAAAATGCTGCCTACCTGCATTCACTTTTAGACCTCAGGTCAGCCCAAACTCTTGTACCTTATGACCTCATATCAGCCCCAATGCATGAACCTTCACACCTCAGATCAGCACCAATGCATGCACCTTCAGACCTCAGATCAGCACCAATGCATACACCTTCAGACCTCATATCAGCATCAATGCATGCACCTTCAAACCTCAGATCAGCCCCAAACCTTGAACCTTCAGATACAGCATAAACTCTTCACCTTCAGAAACACAGGGGTTTTAGATACCTGCTGTGATGGATGCAACAAGAGGAGGGTAAATGTAGGTGGGTAGGCTGCGGCGGTTCCAACAAGAGCAGGAAGAGTGTAGGCGGGTGGGCCTACCCTGTGAGTGACGTTAGGGAGGTGGGTTGTCAGTGGGCAGGCCAGGCTATGCCTGGAAAAAGGCTTTGCGTACCCACTCGGGCACGCACATAATCCATGTTTTATCCTGTTACATTAGAATGTAACAGAACATTGAAATAAACATTTCCCATTATGTCTTTCACATTTTGCTGTGCTGGAAATGTGTAAGGAAATTCATTTTTTCTTATTTTAACGTGGTTATAGAATATATTGAAAACTACTATAGACCAGAGCCAGGGTAGACCCTAGTATGGAATTTTATGTCATCTGGGAAATTTTAGTAAATTCTCTTGTGCTTGTGTGTTACATTTTACAGGTTACTGTAAGAGAAAAAGTAAGAAGTCTTTGTGCTAAGCACTATGATATGGTTGACTTTGATGTTGTCATAGCAAGGAAAACTCTTTGTAGAGAATAGTAGTAGTATTTCAGTAATCTGATCACTATTCCCAATATTCTGCCTTATTTCTGTATGCTACCTTCTATTATCTTGTCATTTAAGTTCATAGTGCTTATTGTCAAGACAAGGTTACTTTACTGTTTTTACCTACATTTTACAATAGCTTAATAGTGAATTCAAGTAGAGCACTAGATAGCTCAGGCTCTGTCATGTTATGGGAAATGTTACATGTATTTGTGAATGTCATGAAAGCTCTTCTACATAACGCACCTTACAGTATAATATTTATGTGATATTTATGTATAGTGATGCTTTGGCATACATATAAGTAGGGCCTGATTTCTTCTCTCTGCAAGATTTTTAAAGAACAAATCCAGCCAAAATGTTATATTATTGTTATGGATAGTGTGGGGAAGGGTTAGAACTTGTGTCAGGCAGGGCCCTGTGGCTTTGCCTCACCTTGCATTATGGAGGAAGCTGACAGCTTTTTCTCCATTCAGATCGGCTTGTAACAGGTTACACAACAGGGAAAGTCTCCACGCTGTGTAACCTGTCATGGACGGAGCGCTGCCTGTTAATTACAGGCGGCACTGCATCTGTCTTTTGACAGCTAAGTTAGGTTACACAGCAGCGGGCTTCCCCACTGTTTGTGTAACCTAACATAGTGAGACGAGAGCTGCAACAGCCTCTACTCTATGTTAGAGACTTGAGCTCTGTGGATGGTTTGGACCAATGGCAAAGTGCCATTGGTCCAAGCTGTCCAATAAAACCCCCCCAAAAATAAAACACTGAGCACATTGACCTTGATGCCTCACCAGTGACTTGTAAGTGAGTAACAGGGAGGCTCCTCTCTGTCTCCTCCCTTCCTCCTCCCTCCCTCCTCCATACATGGGTCGGTGACTGGGCAGGGCTTCAGTCGGCGGGGGCATCAGAGGGCTGGGGAGGGGGTGGGGCATGCTGAGGGCGGGGCTGGGGAATGCCTCACCCAGCACGGAAGGTACC